AATAATGAAAGAATTAGCCCAAAGAAAAAAGTTACAGACAATAACGAGAAGGCTTTGAAAAACTGAAAGCACATTTCGATACGGTGTCATATAGAACAACGTGTCTGTTAACAGTCTACTTGCACCGTACGTCGTAGAAAATGAGCACGTCACCTCACTCCTGAAGAAGGGGCTTCCCTCAGAGACTGCTTATTACAAATAAGAGACAAACCATAAATATGTGCAGTAAGGACACATGTACGTTCATATACAGATAAGGTACCTGGGTGAACAGTCTGGAATGAAATTAAACTAAGAGGATAAATAACATTAATAAACTCTACACTTTGAGGCACATGGGGAATAAAATTCACGTTGTTTCTAAGTTATGGACACAGCATCTTTTCTGCCCCCACCCCGCCCCGTTTTTTGTACCTTAGTGTAATGCCGATTTGCATTTAACCTAGTTATCTTATGTTTGCATGCTCTGCAAACTGAATTACAGGACCAAATTGCCTATTACAATTCCCCATTATGTGACACAATTACATAGGAACACTTTGAGGCGAGAGGATTGTCCCAGTATCAGGAAGCACTGATTGCATCATGCTCGCAAAGAGCAAGAATTAAGGAGAGGCTCTTTCCCCAGGTGACAGTTTGCTGCCTTTTCTCTCCACTGGAAACGCTGTTCCCCATTACAATGACTTCTATTCACTGACTTCTGGTCTGCAAAATTAGATCCATTGGTATTTTAAAAATGAAAAAAGCCATACCCTAAAACTATACTATTTCCTAAGCTTGAAGCTCCACGTTCCTAAAGCACTTTTAAGTAAAGCGGGGAACTGAAGTAATGGTCCAGAATTACCTAATGCCCAGAAAAAGTGAAAGCACAGGAACTTGCAAGTAACTAGAGTATATGAAGTACACACATGGGGTCCCTCTTGCACACGTGCCTCGCTCAGCACAAGCAAATGATGTAAAAACTTCCACTGGATGACCTTTGTCTTGGATCCCCAAACCTAATCATAAGTACACACATGAAAATGCGCACACATACCCTTTTAAAATCTTTCATTAGAAGAAAGGGGAGACCATCTAGGGAGGGTTTTTCTCTTACTGAGATGGGGGCATGTCTTATTAGTACCCTTGTTAAAGACAAAACTTAACCAGGGAAAGGGAGTGGCTGCCAGCCTCCCAGGTGGACAGAGAGAGAAAGTCTCCAGTGTGGCACAGCGAGGTCAAGACTCAGCATAAAGAGGTGGAAACATGAGATTAACTAAGGCCGCACTGAAAGAAAGAATCTGAAAATAACCTCTTCAACTTACAAAACAAAAGGCACATCATCATTCAACTTCGAGAGCTTAGCAAACATGGATTTTCACTTACTCAGAATTCCACATTATTTAGCAAGAGCCATGCCACATACTCACAACCTAGCATAGCTAGAAAAACACAAAACACAAAGCCTCACGATGCTTTGTGATGTTACAATAGAATTTAACAAAAAGTTTTCACTGTTAATGTGAAGAAAAAAATAGCAACAGAATACAATTATGATGAAATGAGTTTATTTCATCTATATGTTTAGTTTTTGTGTATATCGAATTAAAAGTAAATTAATTTACAATTGTACTTATAGTATAAAATTTTATATTGATAAAGTTACTTCTACGTATATACAGGAGAAAAACAAACAGATCAACCGATGTCTGTAAAATGAAAATATATGCTGTATAAAGCAACTGATATTTCAAAATTTTTGGCGGATGAGATGAGAGGAGCTCATTTGTTTTAATCCTCATGTGATCAAAGATATCTGTGGAAGATGACAGCAAGTTAAGTACTGCGGCATAGCACACAGTGGGTAATGAAAGAAATCAAAGTCCTCCGAAACCTCTCACCCTTGGGCAGAAATGCTTTCAGTTCCTGGGGAGGGGGTGTGATGATGCTGGATGAAGCCCAGGAATAGAGCAACCCCATTCCAGAATTTTGCTGCCTTTCTCCCCCCTCTACACCATATTTTCCTTTGGGAAATGTGTCATCATCTTCCACCACCCAGACACAAGCCACTTCATACTGTGCATATCTCAGTGGACCTGTAAATGACTAATGACAAACCCTCAGCCCAGAAGTGCTTCTGACGTAGTTCATTGTGCCTCATCGTTGATCCAGGCTGGCCCTTCTCATTTACACTGAGACACTGGCTTGGCTTTGGTCACTAGGAGGTGCAGTCCTTGCTAAGCGGGTCTGGACAAAGCTACGTGTTCCATAAAGAAATGTGGAATGACGGGAAAGGCTACTGGAGGGCAGAGTGACTCCCTGCAGATTGCAGGAGGCAGCATGGCTGGGAGAAACAATGTTTGCTTCTCAAGAGGTATGTCACAATGGCTCCAGGTCACTTGGCTCTTGACCTTCGAGGCTGAATGAGGAGGGACACCCAGTGGGATGGGCACTGGGGTATGTGCTTGAGGAAGGTTGATAAAGCCTATCAGTGAGACATCAGGGTGAGCCACAGAACAAAGCAATCAAAAGGGATGGGACTCTTATTCCCAAACTCAAGGACAGACTGAGAGCTAGACCTTGAGGAATGGAATGAACAAGTGGAGATGGGGCCAGAAGCATGACAGAGCCGGGGAATGCTGTAGGCGGGTGACAATGGGACAGTGGAAGGCAGGCAAGGGTCAGGACCATCTGGCCAGTGAGGGAAGAGGCCACCTGTTGGTTATTTCTCTCTCCACCCCCTCTCCTTCCCACAAGGCATTTGAGCTAGTGGAATGGAGAAAAACAAAAAAGGGGAAACTAAAAAAACATGAAGACAGGAAGAAAGAATGAAATGCAAAGTAAAAAAGGAAAAATGAGAAAGGATAGCAGAGTGATGCTTATGTGGCTCTGAGGAGGAGCTATGGGCCCATGAGAGAAGAGGGTGAGAAAACACCTAGACAAGGACAGACAGGAGCAGAGGCAGAAGCTGAAGTCATAAAACAGAAGACCGAGGAGCCAACAGCCCCGCTAGACTTTGCTGTAAGTGCCCTTGAAGGTCATCTGGATGCCCCTCCTTTTCCAGATGAGGAGATGGGGGTGGGGGTGGTAACTTGGAGAGCTTGTTTCTTTGCTCTGTACCACAGAGTGATGTGGACCCAGTGGCATATGCTGTGGAGAAGGTTCTACGCTGGAGTGAGCTGTCCAGGTGCCCCCCAAGGCTTCTTCCTCCTAAGTCCCCTGGTATTCTAGGGTTCTAGGTATAAGGGTGGTCTCTGTATCTTTGCAAAAACTCACAATAGCCTCACCTTACAATGCCTAAAGATACGACAGTGAGATTACTTTAAAATGAACACGTTGATGGCAGTGCTATTTGCAACAGCCAAGACATGGAAATAACCTAAATGTCCATCAACAGATGACCGAATAAAGAAGTTGTGGTATATTTATACAATGGAATACCGCCCAGCCATAAAAAGAATAAAATAATGCCATTTGCAGCAACATGGATGGACCTGGAGATCATCATTGTAAGTGAAGTAAGCCAGAAAGAGAAAGAAAAATACCATATGATATCACTCATATGTGGAATCTAAAAACACACACACACACACACACACACACACACACACACACACACACACATACACACACATACACAAATGAACTTATTTACAAAAGAGGAACAGATTCATAGACAGAAAACAACTATGGTTACCAAAGGGGGGACGGGGTGGGAAGGGATAAATTGGGAGTTCGAGATTTGCAGATACTAACTACTATATATAAAATATATAAACAACAAGTTTCTTCTATACAGCACAGGGAACTACATTCAATATCATGTAGTAACCTATAGTGAAAAAGAGTATGAAAATGATGTATGTATATGTATGACTGAAACATTATGCTGTACACCAGAAATTAACACATTATAAACTGACTACACTACAATAAAAAATAAAAAAATAAAATGAACATGTTGAATGTTCATCCAGATGACACTGCCCTTCAAAGTAGTCTACACATTGTGGCTTCTTATACTGACACCTGCCTAATACAGTTAAGTTAACAAATGAATTGTGGCTATTATTGCTCAAACCATTGGTACCCAGTATGGAAAGACACAAGGAAAAGACAAACTAATGAGTATGAAGACATGTTGTTTTACATCTCAAATGAATTATCAGTGTTGCTCATGCTGCTCACCAGACATGACTCCAGTGCCTTTGGCTCCAAAAAGGAAAAAAACCCACCCTCAAGTGATAGGCTTTCCACTTTGAGGAGAATGTGTTCCAGCTCCTAAAGATGACCCCAAAAGAGATGCACTAGGAATATTCTGAGCAATGAGAACATCCTTGGAACACATGCCCAGGCTTTTGAGGTGGTTACTTTGAAGGTGAAACACTCTTAAGTTCTGGAGTGGTTGTGGACAAAAAAATTGGTCACATGATTCTCAATGCTCCTATGTAACCATCTGGGGAAAAAAAAGAAGCCCCTGATCTTTCTGAATCTGTTCTCAAGGGTGGAGATGAGTAAAGAGCGAAAAGGACCTGGAAGGTTCTCTTCTACCCATTTCCCGTGGCGGCGCCTCCTCAGCGGTGCTACCCTCAGCCTGTGGCTTGTAGGGAGGACGCCCCGTTGACCTGCCCCCCACCCCCGGCCCAGGCAAGCAGGGTCCTGGGAATGCAGGGCTCATGGACAGTGTGCTCTGCCTCCTGGAGACCCTTACAGTCCTTCAGTTAACCAGCCAGTGGATACCCTACTTATTTCTGAGAGGCATTGTGGATTGAGAAGGAAAAGGAGATGTCTTAAAAGTAAAGCTGTAAAAGAAATAGACTCACAGACATAGTAAACAAACTTACAGTTACTGGGGGGGAAGGAGGTGGGAAGGGATAAATTGGGAGTTTGAAATGTGCAAATACTAACTACTATGTATAAAATAGTTAAAAAAACAAATTTCTTCTGTATAGCACAGGGAACTGTATTCAATAACTTGTAGTAACCTATAATGAAAAAGAATGTGAAAACAATTATATGTATGTATATGTATGACTGAAACATCATGCTGTACACCAGAAGTTGACACATTATAACTGACTATACTTCAATAAAAAATTTAAAATAAAATAAAAAGAAATCTGCAAAGGAAAAAAACAGTACAGCTGTGAAGAAGCCTTTGTTCCTCTCTAACACTCACAGTGGAGCATGGAGCTAAGCAGAATGTGAGATCCTACGACAAAAAGAGGAGACAGAAACTCACATCGGTGACCACAGGGTTGGCCTGCTCAAGCGTTTGGAGAACCATTGGAAAGGCCTCCTGCTCTTCTGGCCTGTCCCTTCAGTGGTTCTCCTCTCAGTAAAGATATGAGCTCCCAAAAGAAACTCATGGCTTTTTGAATAAAATATGAAAACTAGACAAGTTCCTTAAGTCAGTCAATGAATATGAATGAGATGCCTTTTGTATGACAGGTGCTGGGCAAGGTGCTGGATTTTAGCTGCTTTTTCCAAGTTACCAAGATTGAACGATTTTCATAGAGAGTCTGCCCCACAATCCAGAAGTTTATCTAAGTAAACTACATAAACTATGTTTTGTCTGATTTCTAAATCATTGCTAGATAGTTCTTCTGAATAAGAATGCTCTAGAAAGCTAAATCTCCTTTGGCAATCCCTTCCCAAACCTCCCCCAATTCCCATCTCTTATTGCATTAACTCACAAATACACGCTCACTGGGGAATGCACGCACAAGCATGAAATCGGCTTGGGCTTGGTGTCATGAACTGCACAAGGCTTGCATAAATTCACAACAGACCGTGTTTACTTTTCTATCATCAATTATTCCTTGTTTTTGTCTATAAACTAAAGCTTCCCTAGTTTATTAAATCACCAGTGAGTACAATTAAGAGATGGAACCTCCGCGTGTCATGGTGTTTTCTTCAGCTAATGAGGCCCATGGACTTGTAGATTCATTCACGCAATCTTTTGTTACTCGTGTGCTTATGTGACCAAAGCCAGACTTACAATGACACTGAAGATTCTCCCAGGACACCCTTTTGTGTGTGTGTGAGGTCACAAGAATTTTAATAGTTTTTCATGACAGGGTTGATGAATCTGATGGCTGCGACCTATCTGAGTCCTGCATTTGTATGCGGTGTCTGTTCCTCTGCCCTAATGTAGTGGAGCTGGGCTGGACTTGCCAACGTCAATTTGTATTGTAGGTGTGGTTCCTGCCTGGATGAGCTCTGTTTAAAAGAGGATTGCAGAGTTGGCTTCATCTCAAACGTCTGTGTCTGATTCACAGACATCTGTGTCTCCCTGAGAAATAATGTTTTCACAACCAGAGCTGTCCAACGGAGAAATAAGCCACTTCCTATGGGAGTGAACGCCTCCTAATGGGATGCGGTCAGGCAGAGCCATTTCTCAGGGCTGTAGGGAAGGCGTTCCAGCACTGGATGGGGAGGTAGAGCCTTCCTGAGGTTTGAGGATGCTACAATTATAGGTTATGGTGGAGGTAGCCTCCGGTCATATATGCTTACTGTAAAATGACACCCAGTGAAGGTCGGGTATTTCCTAGTGAGCTGTTTGGAGAAGCAAGGCTTTGGTTGTGTTCCAAAGTAGGATCCAGTAGAAGGCATTTGTGCTGGCCTTTGCGATGAGCATCTAGTACGTGGCTCAGGTCATGTGGTCGAGCTACAGAGCAGAGAATGGTGGGCTGACGGCCCTGAGCAAGTCTGAGTGGTACATTTAGACCCTCTGGACAGCAAGATGCCCACGCTGTCTGCCATCACTACCTAATCAGCTGCTGAACAGCACTTGGCTCTCAGATGCATCTCCACTGCTCTCGCCCTGTCCTCTCCATATCAGCTCTGGGCACAGCACACTGACCTGGGGGCTGGTGTCATTCTTTAGCTCTGCTTGCTGTCTTTTCCTCTGGAGGAAACCAAGCTCAACGCCAAGCGGGAGGAGAACCCCAGGCTCTTTATGCAGGATTTTAAGAGCATAGGTCTGGGGCCCTGTTTAGGAAAACAAGAGAATGAAGAAAAGCAAATCCTCCTCTAAAAATATATGCTTTTGCCCAGAACTGCTTCTCAGTTTGGGAATTTCCTGCAACCTGGGAGAGCGAGTGAGCGTTCTTCTCAAGTACAGCGATTTGGTGAAGTCCATGTGTGATCATACCACTGTAACCACAAAGGAATTTACCACAGGAAGTGTCCCAGCTGTTACTTATTAGCATTAGAACAAATTACACAAAGCAAATTGTTAGCAGACATGTTTCCATAATATTTAACTGGTGGCAATAGATAAGAGCGATTCTCTTTCAAGTAAATGCTAGATTTCCAAAAATTCAGCTTCCAATTGTCCGCAAAGGAATCGTCTTCGATTAGGCTAGTGGCTGGAGGGAAGGGGACTCCGGAAGCTGAGGCTCCCAGGGCTCTTCCCAGGGCAGCACCGGCGGGAGTTGTGTGAGAGGCGCCACCAGGGTGACATCACAAGGTGGGAACAGGACTGCTTGTACCTCTAAACAGCTGACCGTCTGCTGGGGTCACAGCTGGGGTTCTCAGCATGGTCCTCTCATGCCATGGAGACTAAGGCACATGGCAAGACCAGAGCAGAGCTGGGCAGTGACTCAGTTCTTGGAGTGTGTTTGTGACAACAAATAAACCACACCCATGGGCAGGTGTTCATCCCTCTCCTTAACGAAATATTGCAGTTTCCAAAAAAAACACACACTCCTTCCCAGTCCCCTGTCTTATTATCTGAGGTTTAAGGAAAAAAAAAAAAAAGTGAGTCCCATCTCCTCCTCCCCTAAGCCCATCGGAGAAGACTTAGAAAAGCACCAGGTCAGAGCAAACGGCAGGCAGCACTCACCTTCTGCTCACACGGAGGAAACCTGGCTAGTTCTTTGGAAAGAAAGCAGAATATCTCCGTCTTTCAAGACCTTCTGACAATGACTAAATTCAAGTCCCTGGTCACTTCTGGGCATTTCCAACAATCTTCGGAGCTATGACAAAATTCTCCTAAAACAATCTCAGAAAATAAAAAACATAATTTTAATGTTTTAAAACATAAGAACTATTCCACACATAAATACAAAAATAGGATATTGTAGCTTAAAGGGTTGGGGCTGTTAGAAGAGACCCCCTCTTACTGTCTTCCTAAGACATTTGTAGTTTTGTCTTCCCCAACTCGCAGTTTCCTTCCTAACCGCAGCTCAGTGTCCCTCCCCGGCGTATTTCAGTATCCTATTTGGTTCTGGTGAGGTGCTCTCCACTCCTTTTTCCTGCTGAAGGGAAATGATGGGGGAGCGGTGCAGCTCTGGCGGGCACTAAACGAGGCTCCAGACGGCTGGTCCTGCCCCGTGGGCTTCCTGGCTAGGCTTGTCCCCTCAGTCACACGGAGTGGAGTCCTGTCAGCCAGCTCCTGACCTGGGAAGGCCCAGAACCCCAGAACCACCCCCCAGCAGCCTCCAGGGCGCACCCTACTGGCATTAGAGGGGATACCCAGTAGTAACAGCCTAGAGTGGGTTCCACCTCTGTGCCACAAAGCTGGGGAAGCCTTTGACACCAAGCAAATCCAACAGCCGATACACACCTAGCTACTTCCTAAGGCTCTTCCAACTACAGTGTCAGGAAACACACACACACACACACACAAAATGCACATCTTTTACCTGAAGTCTTCACAAAGGGAATAATGTGCTTCATTAAATATTTAAAATGCCTTAGGCAATAGAACTGTCTCTAGACTTTTTTTGTAAAAGTGTTTAACAGACAAGTGTAATTGGAAGTGTTTGGAGCATGAACACACACACACACACTCTAATTTGGAATTATGCTAAACTGTATCATTATTCGCCACAACCCGAAGCAAAGCTACTGCCGTGGAGTAACGAGCACCACGTCTGCACAAGAGCGAGGCCCCCCAGAAGAGCTCCCAGTCGGATGGGGTGACACACGTGGCCTGACTCTGTAAGGTCCGTTTAGAGGAAATGGCCTGGCATGTTTTACATTTGCTGAGCTATTTAGCTGCCTGGTTTGACAAGATTTTTGAAAGGGGTGAAAATTAATTATAATTGCAGTATTACAACAATAATGTGGTGGGCTAATTGCATTTCAGTGCAAAAACAGGCAAGGAAGAACTTCCTGCCTGGGTTATTCTCTGATATGGCAACATTCATCTTAAGAGTAAGAAGATTTTTAAAAAGTCAAACCTTAAATATCATGGCTTCAGCAATCTGTCCCACTTAAAGTTTAATGCAAAATGAGATAGCACCTCCGTAAGAGCAGATCCCACGAACGTGGACCCAGTTTTTCTTCTACACTTGAGATGGCAAAATCTCTCTCCCCTGAAAACCACACCAAGCATCTATCTGATACTGTTTGGGGATGATTTGGATTTGGGGGACACCAATGTTGAAGTTTTTAATCCTGAAGGGACACTACTGAGAATGGGTAGGAAGTTTTGAAAGTCTCTGTATGAGGTATATGTTGATGGAAGAGGCACCGCAAGTTTTAGAGGACTGAGAAAAAGGAGGAGAAACATGGTTGCTGTGGGATTTCTGGCTCTTACTGTTTTCACATTGGCCATTCTGAATGCATAAGCTATCCATGGGTTTTTGAGGGAGACTCTAACTCCAGACCAGCAGCAAGCATTTCACAATTAACCGACTTTGAGGGACAATCTATCGCTTAAAAATCTTGAGGACTCTGTCCCAAGGCCTGATTCAGGGCAGTTTTGTCAGGTGCCGGAACCAACATTCAGCTCTTCCATGACCTGGTAACTCAAGCTCGGTTCCCTGGGCACTTTTAGGACATTCTCCTCTGTCCCTTCTCTGTTGTGCTCTAAATCCAGCCACCATTTGTGTATCTAAAAAGGGTTTTTGCTATGACGTGCTTTCTCAAATATCACTCATCAAAGTGGGTCTAATGGCACGGCATGGAATTCTTCTTACGATCCTTGCCTAGGTTCTGTATGATTTACAGAGGATCAACACACAAATCTACCCAGGGCTGCACTCAAGTCTGTACAGGTCCTGTCCTGCACAAGGGCAGCTGGTGGAGGGGTGAGGGGGCTGAAATCCCACCTGGCCCCACTCACCAGCCGAGACCCCTGCCAGGCTGCCCACCGGGAACGGTGTGCTTTTTCTAACTTGCATTTGGGCCAGGGGAGGCCCTGAGTTGTCCTTGATCCTCGCCCTCCCAGAGATCACAAGGTCCTCCTCACCTCCAACACTACAGGTGCTTTTAAAGGAAAATGATATGCCCACAGCAAAGGACCATCCATTTTGAAGATATGTTTCCTGTTAAGTGAGAGAGGAAGGGAAAAAGAGACAGGGGAGGAGAGAAATGAAAAGGATAAGAAGAAAAATGGAGATGAGGTTGCCCTTCTGTCTCATAAATTGTGGATTCATTGTCCTTCCCTGGACACAGCTGCAAAGGAGTAGAAATCAATTTTTTTTCTATTACTCCAAGGTGAGAAAGGAAAACCTATTTGTAAATTGAATTAAACCTCATAATAGCATGTCCGTGTATTTGCTGAAGATGGAAAAATTAACCGCAGATACAACTATACAGTCCTTCAGTGTGACTAGAAATCAGCACTCTCCCATTTCAAAGCTTAGTCGAGACATCTTTCTTCTTATTCTTTTTAAGAAACACCATGGCTAAATGTCACTAAGACTCTCCCATGTGCCAACACATTGACACTTCAGTAAGGACTCTGGAAGGGAAGGAACTCCAAAGCCCCATCTGGGAAGAACATGCTTCCAAATTCTTGCCTTTGCTGCATCTCAGTCAGTCAATAATGATTGGATATGAACTAGAACCTTCTAGAAGAAGGTGATTTCTTCCCAAGTTGCAATCTGTGGTGCTCACTGGGAATAAATTTCCCATGTCTGTGTAGGCTAGATCTTGTTCACAGAAACCCTACCCATCCTCTGGGTACTGAGTATCAGGCTACTGCAATGAGGGGCCTGAAATTTCATCAGCAGTCTGCCCTCTAGTGGGGCAACACAGTACTTCAGATAACTGGGAAAAGAAAAGAATTTTTTTTTTTCCTTCTTCTCTTTCAGAGAGCAAAAGAATTCAAGTTTTCCAGATAGTGCAAAGTGAGGCATTTATCCTCAGAAGACAGCTTTCAGAGCTGAATCAGGCAAGGCTCACAATGATAGGTCCCCAGGTCCGAGTTAAAGACAGGTGGTGCTGCAGAGATAAAGGTCCTTCTAACATCACTGGAAGCCTCAAGGGTCCTCTTTGAGTAATAACACTCAGTTCCCCACACTCTCATTATAAAAGTAGGACCCACCCTACAAGAAACCAACCTACCAGGAATGTTAAAAATGATAGATTTGGGGGATAATTTTTTGGCAAATCACTAACACAGAGGAACCTTTCAAAAGGGCCATGTTGAATTTTTTTTAAAGGCAAAGATGCACGAGTTTTATAAAAAGACCAAGTCTTTGTGGTTGTTATTTTTTTCAGAAGAGAATCTTTGCGATGAAGGCTGATGTTGGTAAGGCTTCAGAAGATGATCTTGAGATCTGTTGTCTGGATTTCACTTCTATCCTTTAAACATCTTCAGAACTTGGCTTGCTTCAGTTTATCAATATGGTAGCAGAGTTTCAGTGCAGGTCCCAGCTTCAGGCCCAAGTATTTCATGATCATGTCACTCTTCAGTAACAAGAGGGCATTGCCATCAATCTCCTGATGGAACAGGATCAGAGAAAAGAAAACCCAGAAGGTGGTCAGAGTAATCAAATAGTGGCTATGGTTAGAGTATGGTCAGGAAATAAGATAAGGGGATACGGACTTACTCAGATGCATATTCTCTTAGTTCCGAAGCAAGATCTTAAGAAAATAAATTAAAGCCCACAAATACTATGTGCTCCTCTTCCCAACATCTCCCTGGGGTCATTCGATATACTGGATCTTTCATATCCCTGCTCTCTCCTGATGGAAGGAATCTAACATAACACCAGCCACTGTCCCAATATACCATGTACGATGTTTATCTCCTTATCCAGTCTAGGGCTAATGGAACAGGAAGTGCCCCCTGGACTGAATGTTTGTGTCCCCTTCATCCCCTCCCCAAATACATATGTTGAAATCCTAACCCCTTAGTGATAGTATTTGGAGGTGGGACTTTGGGGAGTGATAAGGTCTGAAGGTGGAGCCCCTTGTGAATGGGATTGGTGTCCTCAGGCAATGAGAAGATGGCAGTCTGAAATCCGGAAGAGAGCTTTCCCCAGAAGGTGACCTTGCTGACACCCTGATCTTGGACTTCCAGCCTCCAAAACAGAAATGATTTGCTGTTATTCATAAGCCAGCCAGTTTATGGGACTGTTACTGCAGCCTGAACTAAGACAAAGCATCATCCCATTAGATCCTGGAACTAGCGGTTATCTTTCCATTCCAGGTGCTCATCTAAGGCCCTGACTTCTATCTGTCATCCTAATCTCTGGTTTCTTTTCTCAGTAAGCTCACCCACCTTTAGCTGATTACCAAATTGCTAATGACACTCTATAAGGGATTTGAGGTGTTTTTTCGTCTCTGTCAATAATACTAGGTAGCACATGCACCTGCCTCATCAGAGGGCTTAGCACAATTAACTATTAAGGGAATGTCAATCCTCCGAGGTCCTGGTATTCCTCCTATTTGTCTCTGAAAATGGCACCCCTCCAGACTGCATGTTAAATTAATGAACTAAGTAAGGCTGGGTTTCCTCCTTCACCTACACTGCTATTTTCAGATTACTAGAGACAAAGGGTAGAAATCTGGGGTGCTCAGTTGGGGAGAAGAGGCACATACAGGACTCATATAACGGCAAGTGTCACCAGCCCCTCTCATTCCTCTATCCAGCCAGTCAGCACTGACGCATTGCCTACTCCATTTCATTCACTCTCCATGTCCATGGCAAAATGGCAGACTGGGCAAAGCTCATCTGTGGACCCTCCCAGGGTCCTCATTGCCTAATGTTCTCTCTTTACCCCACCTCCTAGACTTCCACTGTCTCCACTTCTCACTCAGGAAGGAGGCCAGACTGCTCCCACCCAGATCTATCTGAACACAACCCCTCTCTGGTGCTTCTCTCAAGGCCCCGCTGTTAGCCGAGGTCACGTATATCCAGAAGAAAATGTGAGTGTCCTCTCCAGATCTGAAAGTATGATTTCCATGATTTTCACTTCAAATAAAATGAAAGACAGGAAGGAAAAAAAATAATAGTAACTCCTGTAGACAAGAATAACGCTCCCTCTCCTCCCCACAAGAGGTCTATGTGCTAATCCCTGAAACCTGTGAATATGAGCAGTTACCTGGCAAAGGGGAATTAAAGTTGCAGATGGAATTAAGGCTACGAATCAATTTATCCTGGATTATTGGAGAAGAAGGGAGACAACGCAATCACAGGATCCTTAAAAGTGGAAGAAGAAATCAGAAGAACCAAAGGGCTGGCAGCCTAAGAAGGACTCAGCTTGATGTTGTTGGCTCTAAGGATGCAGACAGGGAGGTAGGAGCCAAGAATGAGGGAGGAGCTAGATGCTGAAAAGGCAAGGAAATGAATTTTCCCCAGAGCCTCCAGAAACACGTCAGACCCATCAACACCTTGGTCTTAGCCCAGTGAGACCCCTGTCAGACTTCTGATCCACTGAACTGTAAGATAATGAATTTGTGTGGTTTTAAGCTACTATCTTTGTGGTGACTGGTTATAGCAGCAAATCTAAAACTGACATAGTAAGCTTGGCAGGTAAAGTATGAATTCTTACCTTTTAAAAAATTGTATCATCTTTATATATTTTAGAATCTCCTAAATAATTATACAAATACCTGCTAGCTGAAGGCTATCTATGAGCCAGGTACCATGCTAAACATTTGATGTGCATTTTCTCATTTAATTCTCAAAGCAGCTTAGGAAGAGGCACTATTAAGTTTGCTGGCATACTGTAGGGGTGCTATAAATGTTTGTTGAATGCACAGACGGACGGATGGGCAGGAAAACAGACGCTCCCGAAAAAGGCCGAAGTGAGTGAAAAGATGGGACAAACATCCCTTAAAAACAAAACTACGTGGTGGTTCTGCTCTGAGAAAAGTGTGCTTCCATCTGGCCTCCCTTGGGTGCCCCCAGGGCATAGTGCAGGCGCCCCCACCCCAACAGCTCCCTGACCCTCCCCCACCATCCTCGCCCACCAGGCCCACCACAGGCGTACGTGCTTCCGGAAGAGCTCCACGTGGGGCCCCAGGGCCTGCGGGTCAGCATCTTTCACGAACCAGACCACGTCCTCCACAGACCAGGTGGACGGGTTCCTGCTCCTTGGCCGCCGGGCATCCTGCCCTTCCGGAGAAGGGCTTGAGGCTGGATGGGGAGCACAGAGAGGGAGGCCGTGAGATGGTGGGCCAAGGGCCTTAGCGCCCCACTTGGCCCTGAGTGACCTCCTGTGACAGAGAAAGGCTCCGAATGCCTGCTCTTGCCAGGATCCTGGAGCACCAAGGCCATTCCTAGAGGCAGCCCCCCGCCTCCACCTGTGTGGACGTTCTCTGCTCTCCTGGGCGCTAGAGCATTGGGAAATGGCTGTCCTTCAGCAGGCTGAAATGCTGATCCATGTTAGAGTTTCAAAGACCCTCCTGCTCAGTTCTGTCTCAGTGGGCCTGGGTCTCCTGGAACCGGGTACTTGGTGACAGAGAACCCTTGCTCCGAAGAAGTTCCAAATAGGCCTCTGCGGTGCTGTGAGGCCAAAATGACTTCAGGTCCTTTCTGCCTCCGCTCGTGTCACACTGAGACAATAAACATGTGGCAGAATGGAGGGGCATTTTAGTGCTTGTCGTGGGTCTCTGCCACCAGGCTGTGGAAGCCCTGTCTGTGAGATGTCTGTGCCTTGCTCTGCACGTGCAGAAAGAAGACGTCGCTGTCTCACTCACCGCTCCACCTTCACACTGAGTGCCTCCAGCCCTCCGTCTGTCAGAGCACTCACTCCAGTCTCCCAACTAGACGGGGGAGCCCTTGACAACAAGAGCCCAGTCCTGTGCCTGGTCTACACCTGGTCCCTGATCAGTGACTGCAGCATGAGTTGCATTGTTGCATCAATGCACTTCCCACATGGCAGATTAAAAGGTGCAGAACTAGTGAAGGAGGAAGGGTAGTGGATCAGAGGCCTGGCAATATTTAAGGGGTGACTTTTTCTCTGTATGTCCCAAACTAACTCATCCTTTGTCCAGAATCAGCTTCTCTTCCTATCTCTCATGTTTCTAAAACCTCTACCTCCTGCCCCTTATTTGCTCCCTGCATTTGAGTACTCTGAAGCTCTTGGAATAATGCCTCTCACATTGGCCCCTTCCCTTCCATCCCTGCTTTCCCAACCCAGGATCCTCTTACTCAACCCCTGCAAAGGTTTTCTAACAGGTATCCTCACCCCGGGCTCCCTTCCTGCTAGAGCAAAACTGCCACTGCCACATGCTCTCCCTAGTTCCAGCTCCACCATGCCCCTTGTGAATACCCCTCGCCTGTGCACTGAGTCCACATTCCAGTGCAAGGTCAAGGGCTCCCTTTGGTCTCAGTAACATCTTTCCTGCCTAGATGGAGGGAAGAGCAATCCTGGCACTGCCTGTGACTAACTATAAAATGGCAATGCTCTCCACCTGGAAGGGCAAGTGAGTTTGGAAATAACGTCAGGGCTGGGCCTGTGGCTGGCCTGCATGAGATGGTCCGCAGAGGGAAGGAGGTGCATTGCCTGCCTACCCACCCTCCTGCACAGCCTGTCTGGGTACACTGGTTGTGACTGAATGTTCCCCCAGCACCCAGCTTAGCTGGTGCTTTTGCTTCTCTCTGGAAGGTGTTTACCCTCCCTCCTTTTCAAAGAAATTCTCTAAGCCATCGAAGCCCTGGTAGACCCCTTCATGTGCAGCATCTCTGTGTCCTGCCATCTGGATGTCGCCTTGCTCTACCTTTAACCCCCAAATCTTTGCTTGCTCTTCTCTTAAGATGCTCTCTACATTCTGCCTTATATTAGAAGTGTGCATGTGCTTGTCTGTAACCTCCAGTTAGTTTTAATTTCTGGAGAATGATCTTTTTCAACTTTCCCCTATTCATTCCACAAATATCAACAGGGCATCTCTTCTGTACCAGGTCCTGGGCAACGTGTTTGGTGAAAAATGGGATCCTCTCATTACAAGGTTTATAATCATTGACTCCTCCGCAGTTCCAAGCAAAATATTTGTACATATAAGTCTAATGAACATAAAACGAAAGAAACAGTACAAGTAACTCTTACAAAAAGCTTTGTGTAAGTAATCCTTAATCCTATTTTCATCTGAGCAATGAAGCAGCTTCCCTACAGAATAATTCTAAGTTAGAAGCTGAGAAGCCTTCACTTCCATTTCCCTCCTTTAATCTCAGAGTGCAGTGGTTTTTTGCTGTCTCTTTTTTCCCTCTTCTTTTCAACATGTTTGAGAAGTGCATGGGTCTCCATTAGTGCTGAGAAAAGTACAGCATCACGTTTCTGAGTCTGTCCTAAACACATAATGTTTGAGAATTGGGATTTCTTTGAGATTGTCCCTGCCTTTTCCTTGCTGGACCTGCAAGGGTCCCCTAAGGTGGCACGGGGTGGGGTGGGGCACTTTGCCAGGAAACTGTTCATGCACCCCGGGGCCATCTGAATGCTGATGCATGCTTATTAGGCATGATTTCACTGCATTTAAAGACATCTGCACTCAACACAGGGAGGAGGCATCACGGAAATCGCATTTGCCTTTGGATCCCGCCCCATCGGAGCATTGGTGGCAATCAGGGTGATAATAGATGCTCTGATTACAAAGGCGGGACATCTTCAGTGCCAAGAATGATTTTAGAGTGATCAGAGCAGAGGTCAAATCTAATTCCCTGTGTTTGACAGGAAGGAAAAACACCAGACCGACTCACAGCCTCGTTCATGGAGCCTAAAGTCCTTCAAGTAAGATCAGGGAAATACCTTCCCATGAGCCACAGCCATGGGGCTGAGGACGAGGACTGGCTTGTCTTTATGGGGGAGGCTTTCCAGGTGATGAATGTGGAGGGATGTGGCTCTGCTCCAGGTGCCTCGCACAGGCCGTGGGCATTTTCACTTTCCCAGGCTGGAGCAGCAGCAGCGGGGCCTGGCTGGGGGGCCTCTCTGAGGGGCCAGTAAGGTCAGTCATACAAGACAGAGAGCAGCCGGAAGCCTGTTGCACCTCAGGAGCTGCTCAGGATCCAAAGCACATCAACTCACTCTAGAAGGAAGAGAGAGGGAACTTTCCAGCGGCATGGAAGCGGCAGGGCCTTTGCAGTGGTCTGTGCTCACAAAGATAAGTACACCAGCCCCTCCAGCTGCTGCAAAGGTGTCAGGAAGACAGATGGGTCCAGCCTGACGCAGCCAGGCCAGGCAGATGGGACTGGTCAGCGGTCAGACATGATGGATGTGAAACAATGTTGCTCCTAAAGGAACAGAGCATGCAAAGCGCTCGCCAACCTCCTTTGTGGGAAGGTGGCATTCTCCAGGGAGGAGACCATCGTGCATGGTCAGATCTGTTCACTGGGCGCTGCCAGAGACATGTGTAAAGTGAAACCCAGCTGTGAACGGATGTATAATGAAAGATGGTGGTGGCTGTTTCTAACACTGAACTCACATTCACCAGGAATAGAGTGACTATGAATCAGTGTCTAAAGCAACCCTAGACATCTTCACAGCACAGGTTCCTGAGCTGCTGCCTGTGAGTCGCCCCCTGTCTCACACATACCCACCAGCACATACATAATTTCCTTTTGCTCGTTCATAATTCAGAGAAAACTTTTTAGCTGACAATAGAGTCATGGGGAAGAATGGAAGGAACAATGAGGTGTAAATCAGAAGTTCCCACCACCCACCCGCTTTGTGAGCATCTCCGGTGTGAAGTAAGGGAGCTGGGAAGGATATCTGAGGTCCCTTCACACCACAGGATGTCCCAGGCAATACTACGGAGCTACCTGCTCACACATTTGAAGCCCTGTCAGTGTGTTCGTGTGAAAAGCACGGTGAATGCAGAGCCAACAGCCAGGACTGGAGCCCCTTCCTGGCCCTAATCATTCTATTCTCTGTGGGCCTCAGTTTCTTCATCTTATTTCTCAAGAGTATTGTAAGAATCAAGTGAAGATGTGGCTTTGGGCTGGAGCCTGACAAGAAGCATCCTGAAGGGAAGCCCATTAGTCTCCAAAAGGGGTCCCTCGGGGTCCTTCAGTATTGTTGACAACTGTCCCTCTGGAAATGGACGCTGTCAGAGAACAGGACCACGTGTCCTGCTCACAGCTCCATCCTTAAAGCCCCTGGCATACTGTGCTCAGGAAGTATCTGCTGGCCAGGACTGAACAAAATCTCTGAGTCTTGGTTGTCTTGCCTGTCAGACACCTACCATGTTGTGAGGATTAAATGGGACAATGTGAAGCATTAAACAGAAAGACTTACTCAAAAAGTAGTTGCTATTCTTCTTATTACACATCATTCCATAAAGGCCAATAGATTTGTCTCCCTATATCCTGTGGCCATCAGCTCACTTCCCTGTTCAGAAATGTCTGATTTCCACAGAGGACAGAAAGTCCAATCTGCTTGACACGAATCCCAAATCTCCCAGCGTACTTTCCCTCAGTGTCCCTGCACAAACTCTTTTCTTTCCTCAGAATGAAAAAGGCCTTGCCACGCCTTCACTCATTCCACCGCCTCACAAAGAGTGCTATCCCGGTTCTTCTTTTTCTGGCTGAGCAATTCTCTATCCATCCGCAATGCCATACCCTATGGAATCAAACTCCAACCCATGGAAAGCCTGAGGGTGGGAATAACAATGCCAGCTTCACTTCAGTTCTGAAGCCTGGACCTACTTGTGGCTGGGAATTCTACAGCATGTCCTGTTAAATGCAAAAGTCAGGAAGCTTTGTTATCCAAAACCCCGTTATCATTCTTGGGGATTATATCTTGGATGAAAGACAAAGGAGAGCTCTCCAATTTTCACCTGAGTAGCAGCAAAAAACGGGAACATGTCCTGTGAATATACCCCCTCAGAGTCCACTGGCAGAGGCAATGAGCCTGATAGATCAAGGCAGCAGGAGGCTAGGGTAAGTATTCACAGGGAAAGAAGCCTGGGAAGTTTGTCATGTCACCGATACCTACTGTCCTGCCTGCAGCCTTAAGCCATTTTCTGGCTTCTGTGGTTTTAAACCATTTTGATTTGCACCATGGGGGAAAATCCACTTCTGGGTCCCTTCCAGGTTTATGACTTGGGTCAAACCTTCTTTAAGAGATACGGTTTCTTAATATCAACTGCTTTCACTTGGGATGCAATTTCAGAGCAAGACTGAGCACTTCTTTGGGCAGAGGGAAAACTTAACAGCTCTCCAGAGAGCCCACAGCTGGCACCCGGACTGGCAGCTGGGAGACAAATAGGTAAGGAAACCAGAGGTTTTCTCTCCTACTCTAATGTACTGTCACTCAGTTCAGCGTGGTTTATCTCCGTGGTTTCCAGATGTGTTTAGCTGTGCAAACTCTGTTCAAGAAACACAAATGTGGAACCTTACTCTGCAAATGTGAAGAGACCCTGGTTAAAGAGGGTGGTGTTGGAGTCCTGTCTGCCCCATCCCCTCCCTGTGCTCCCCTGGAACCTCAGAGGGACCCCTTGACACCCCCTGAAACCAGTGAGCATGGTTTGAAAACCCCTGAGGCAGTTTTGAAAGACACAGGCTTTAGAGCCAGTTGAAGTCAAATCCTGGCTCAACACTGGACTGACCTTCTCTTGATCTTCACTTGCTTTATCTGTAAATTGAATATAATAATACCTTCGACAATAATATATATACCTGCTATAATAAGAAGTTATAAAATACAACTTATAACAAGTTGTAAGTAATGTGTGCAAAGTGTCTGACCCATAGTAGGTGCTCAATAAACAGCTATTTAGGATATGTCTCGAACAAGCAGGCCCCTTTCCTGGGGCTGCAGAGGATTCAAATACAAGTGAGAGACCTCAGGAGGCTGCGAGTCTGGCTCCTACTGTGGGACGGGGAAGAGGAAGTACTAGAGATGAGGAGCGAAGAGCCACAGGAGGAAACAGGAGGGAATGAACATTTCTAATCAAGAGTGGCTGAGACTGCCAGTTGCCTGCCCAATTTTTTCCCACTTCTTCCTTTGCAATAGAAGCCCTGATTTCCAGTTAGGATCACGACTGATTAGAATTGAAACCATACTTCCCAGCTTCTCTTGCAGTAAGTGGTCATGTGACCACATTCTGGCCAATGAGATGTAAGCAGACGTGGAAACCACTTTCAGAGATTCCAGCACCACCCTCTGTCCTCTTACTCTCCCCAAATCTTTCCTCTGTCTTGATGCTAAGAATATGTATGGCCAGCTGGCTCTTTCTGGATCTGTGGTTCCATGAACCATCCTGAAGAAGGCACTGATTAAACGGAATCTTTGGAATATCAAAGAGTTAATGCACCTACAAAGGGTGAATAATTTCATTTTTCTTCAGTGTATCACAAAAGCTCAAAATGAACTTCAGCTGTTACATCCTGCAGCACTTTACTCCAAGGAGCCTGGGTGGTGTGTGATTTTGAACATCCCACAACCCTGTGGGGTCCTGCTGATTATAAACTAGTCTAATTTTCAGCATGTCAGGCAAAAGTTCTCGTGACTATTTCTAAGTTGTAAAAGAGACAATCAATACTCAGGTTACAGTTAGTGGTTTGCTTGGAGTGGAAGGCGGCAGGCGCTGGTGGGCTCTGTTTCTCTGCCCTCACCCAAGATTCTGAGAGGCACAAGTCCGGCGCTAGCAAGGCTCTCCTGGGATGCAACCGAGGCTCCGACAGAGAGGGCTTTCTCAGATCCCCCATGGCTGAGGGAACAGTGCCCTGCCTCTTGGAACTGCCACCCCTCCTTGGCCAGCAGAGGCTCATCTGGTGTGGTGAGGCTCTTTGAGGGGAGCGTGTGGAGGACTTTGGATCATAATAAATAGCTCATTGCTGTGGCTGTCAGGGCTATGGATGGACACCTCCAAGGCTCGGAACAAAAATGCCAAGAAGACAGTCAGCCCAAGGAAGGCACCAGAGGGGCAAGATGAAGACTCCCTGACTCCCTGGCCTGGGGCCTCCATCCTTCAGCACTTCTTCAGTGTGGGGTTGATGGGCTACGATCTACTGAGGGGTGGTTCACATGATCTGTGACCACTAACACTTACTGAGCTCTTATTAAGTCCTAGGTCTTGTACTAAATACATATTGAACTTATTTAATCCTCCCAACAAAACTATGCGGTAGGTGCTGTCATTATTATTCCAGTTTCACAGACGAGGAACTGAGGTACAGAGAAGTTCAGGCTTGCAAAAGATCACAGGGTCAGGAAGTGGCATATCCAGGATTTCAGTCTGGGCCGTCTGGCTCTGCAGTCCATGTGACTATACCTTCCAGCCTCTATTCATTAACAAAATACTGAAGCTTGAAAATGTGTTTTTTTTTTTTTTAAGAACATAAATCAAAATGGATGCCAAGCCATCCTGAGAATGACAGCACTTTCAGACACTGCATCCCAACAAGCTAACTCTAACGGGTGAGGCAGACGTGGCATCACAACCAGCACGGGGGCAATTTTATCTAACTCTGGCTCTGCCCACGTATTTGTGCCCTGCAAGAGTCACCCACTGTGCAAGAGAAAATGCTTTACCAACCTCTGGTTCTTCTCTTCCTGGCACAGAGCTAGTCTACACCGCTCAGACTCCCTTAGAGTTAAGCGTGGTAAAATGGCCAGCTCTTGCCGACAGAATGTGAGTGGAAGTGGTGGGTCACTTCCAGGCTCTAGGGAAGTGCATGTGCCTTCTCCATTTGCCCTTTGCTTTCTACCTGCCAGAGGCACAGGCGTGGAGGCTGTAGGGAGAGCAGAGCCACAGACAGACAGATCCGGGGTCCCTGAACCAATCAGGAACACCCACCTTGGATGCCTGCATAAATAATAAACTTCTGTTGTGTTTGAGCCGCTGTGCATTTTAGATTCCACTATCCCTACACCTAGCCTACTCTGACACACCATCTTCTTTGCTTACGGTCAAAGGTTGAAGTCAGCTGCCTTCAAGAGCAACAAAAATCCATGAAGGGGTTTGTGGAAACTTCTAATTCTCCAGTGTTCCCATGTTCAAACAGCAGCCCCCCTACCACACACACACGCACACACACACACACACACCGTCCCTCCACATTTGGAGGTCTCCCAGGGCAAGGGCAGAGGAGGTTAGGTCGTGGGGAACCCGGGCAGGCAATACGTTACCACATCTGTTTCCTTCGAGAGAGGTCCCGTTTCTCTTGGGGCTGCAGCCAGGGGGTCTCAGCCCAGGTGCTGAGGGGCCTCCAGAGGACATGGGGCTCATGCGGGGACCACCGGCAGTGGTGGCTGAGCCTCCCCCCAGGTGGCCGTCTCCGGAGTTCTGCCTCTTGCAGTAGAGCGACGAGGAGGCGGGCAGGGAGCCCCTGTGGCTGAAGGCGGAGGCGGAGGGATCCACGCTGTAGCGGTGCATGCCCGCGGGGCTCACCCGGCACTCCTCGGCCGTGGCTGTTTTCTCTAAGCAAGAAGGCAGGACATTCAATATCACTAATTATCAGAGAAATGCAAATCAAAACTACAATGAGGTATCACCTCACACCAGTCAGAATGGCCGTCATTCAAAAATCCACAAATGACAAATGCTGGAGAGGCTGTGGAGAAAGGGGAACCCTCCTACACTGCTGGTGGGAATGCAGTTTGGTGCAGCCACTACGGAAAACAGTGTGGAGATTCCTCAAAAGACTAGGAATAGACTTACCATATGACCCAGGAATCCCACTCCTGGGCTTGTATCCAGAAGGAAATCTACTTCAGGATGACACCTGCACTCCAATGTTCATAGCAGCACTATTTACAATAGCCAAAACATGGAAACAGCCTAAATGTCCATCAACAGGTGACTGGATAAAGAAGGTGTGGTATATTTATACAATGGAATACTACTCAGCCATAAAAACCGACAACATAATGCCATTTGCAGCAACATGGATGCTCCTAGAGAATGTCATTCTAAGCGAAGTAAGCCAGAAAGAGAAAGAAAAATACCATATGAGATCGCTCATATGTGGAATCTAAAAAACAAAAACAAACAAAAACAAAGCATAAATACAGGACAGAAATAGACTCATGGACAGAGAATACAGACTTGTGGTTACCAGGTGGGTAGAGGGTGGGAAGGGATAGACTGGGATTTCAAAATTGTAGAATAGATAAACAAGATTACACTGTATAGCACAGGGAAATATACACAAAATATTATGATAAATCACAGAGAAAAAAATGTGACAATGAGTGTGTATATGTCCATGAATGACTGAAAAATTGTGCTGAACACTGAAATTTGACACAACATTGTAAAATGATTATAAATCAATAAAAAATGTTAAAAAAAATTAAAAAAAAAAGAACGAGAAAAAAAAAAAAAAAGGCAGGACAGAGAAGCAGAGATCAGAGAGCAGGCAGTTCAACAGGCCACCCGGCACTCAGTCTTGGCAAAACTTTCCCAGCAGCACGGGGCCCATCTGTGGGGATGGGCGATGAGATGGAATGGACCTCACGGCATATTTCCAAATAGCTCGCCTCCTCAGATGGACACCTGCCTCACCAAGGAAGCATATCGTAGGAGGGACTCAAAGATGTGTCCCTCCATGTTCAGAGGAAAACGGGATTATCTTGGTTATCGGTGACTTGGACATAAAATTCAAACCAAGCTTTCTTCTCCTCCATGGCTCTGCCGCTCCGGCAGTCTCTGCCAGCTTGTCTGAATCTCCCTGCTCCCTCTTCTCTTGCCCAGCACCACTGCCTCCCCTACTGGGCCCAGGATTCCTCGGAGAGATCAAGCTGGAGTAACAGTGTTCCAGAGCTGGAAGAAACAGCTTTGGACTGGGTACCAACACACATGTGATGCTGCTTCCTCCCTGAACTTTTAGTCACAATTCACATGAGGGGAGGGACCTTCCACCAAAGATAGCAAACTGGGGGCACAAATGCTGATCCGGTGGCCCCATGGCCACATGTATAGGTCTACGTTCAACTGATTTCCAACAGAGGTGCCAAGATCATGCAAAAGGAAAAGAATGGTCTTTTCCACGACTGGTGCTGGGACAACTGGATATCCACATATAAACAATGAAATTGAATCCTTGCATCATACCATGTAGAAAAAATGAACTTGAAATGGATCAAAGACCTAAATATCAGAACAAAAGCTTATAAAACCCTTAAAAGGAAACATGGGGGTAAATTTTCATGACCTTGTGTTTAGCAATACATTCTTAGATTTGACACCAAAAGCATGAGCAACAAAAGAAAAAAACAGATCAACTGGGTTTATCAACACTTAAAACTTTTTAATTTTGAAAGATTCTATCAAAAAAGTGAAAAGATAACCAACAGAATGGGAGAAATTCCTTGCAAATCATATACCTGATAAAGAGAACTCTAGACATTCCCTTGAAGAAGATATACAAATGGCCAATAAGCACATGAAATCTTGTTCCAAATCAATAGTAATTGGGAAATGCAAATTAAAACCACATTGAGGTACCACTTCACAATCACTAGGATGATTATATTCAAAAAGCCAGATGATATCAACTGTTGGTGATATTGTAGAGAAATTGGGACCCTTATACGCTGCTGGTGAGAATGTAAAATGATGCAGCCTTTTTAGAAAACAGTTTGGCACCTCCTCAAATGGTTAAAAGTAAATTCACCATATGACCCAGTAGTTCTCCTCCTAGAGAAAGCCCAAGAGAAATGAAATTTCCACACAAAAATGTATACATGAATATTTATAGAAGCACTATTCTTAATAGCCAAAGGTGGAAACAACCCAAATAGCTATCAATTGATGAATGGATAAACAAAATGTAGTATATCTATACTATGGAATATTATTCAGGCATAAAAAGGAATGAAGTACTGATCCCTGCTACAGTGTGAATGAGCCTTGGAATGCTATGCTAAGAAACCAGGCCACAAAAGACCACATACTAAATGATTTCATTTGTATGAAATGCTAGGGTAGGCAAATCTATAGAGACGAAAAGTAGATTAGTGGTTGCTTAGGACTTAGGGGTTGGGGGAATAGTGGGGGTTCTTAGCTAAAGGATGTGTGGTGTTTGAGGTGTTAAAAACTTTCTACAATTGACTGGGGCAATACTTGCACATATCCATGAATATACTAAAAACCATTGAATTGTACACTTTAAATGGGTGAATTGTATGATATATGAATTATACCTCAATAAAGCCATTTTAAAAAGGTCATTGCAAAGGCCCAATGTTTGGTTGTGAACACATTCTTGAGAGTGTTGTATGGTCAGGTCCGACACCACTTTGGCCACTAGGACACAGGGAATCTGAGCAGCAAAAAGTATGCACACTCTGTGCCTCATGCTTTGTGGCTAATGCAGTGCTGCACGATGACTTCAGGAAACTGGAAGTCTGCACCTGCACCTGGATGGCCCCTATTGCATCTTCCCTCGGGGTCAGAAGACATCAGCAGGAAGGACCTGGCTATTGAACTGTATACTAGGCTGCTTCCTGAATGGACTGAGGAAGAGGAAGACTGACATTTACTGAGCACCTACTATGGGGCAGCACATTCCAAACCAGTGATCAGGAAAGCTGCCATCACATTCCCTTTGTTGGAAAGTTTTCATTCTCTGGGATACTAATCCTTTTGGTGTCCCCAGTGGCAGGTGCTCTGGTATATATGAGGAAGCTACTCACAGCGTCTGGCATGGTGCTTGGCACACAAAGGGCACTAAATAAGTATTTATTAAGTAGAAATTTGGGCAGTAAGGCTGGTGTTACACAGAAGATACATTAAAATTCAGATTTTAAAGGATTAAATATAAATGCTTCATGTTAGATGTATGATAAACAATGAAAAAAGGACCTAACTAAAACATTCATTCTATTTATTAAATATTTTAAACCCAAATTAAATATGCCTATGTAATTCTGGTAGTCTAAGGTAGAAATGCAGATAGTTCACCAATCTGCACTATAGCTGGAAAATACAGATGCAGATGGAATATTGTTCTCCTATGACAATGTGGGGAAATGGGGAACAAGGGAGCATGGATTTTATTGGCTTAAAAACTGCTGACAACCATGGGTGAGATCAAAGGTAGTAAAAGCCAGCTTCTGGGCTATGATCCAAACAAATTCATCGGAAAGTAAAATCGACTTGAGAGAGCATCAAGCAATAGTCCTCTACCCAGCAAAGGATGCACCCATGATTCCGAAGGCAGCCAGGTGCACGGCCGTGGAGGCCAGACCACCAAGCCCCAGCCGTGATCCTGCACAGCCTGTAGCTCCCAGGAATTCTGGGAGTGATTAGCACGTTCAGGTGCACACACCAGGGTGCTGTTCAGAATTGATGAGACGCATCTGCTCAAACCTGCTTAAAACAGCCTTTTCCTCACCTTTATAAATAGCAGTGCGCACACTGACATCACACCTGAGTGTAAAAATGACTGATACAATGAGGGCCATCATCATGCAACCATAGGGCTGGAAAGGCCCTTCACAAAGCACCCAGCCCAGCATTTTCCCAGGTGTTAAATGTGTGCCACTGGTGGGACAGGAATGATTTTTGGTGATACTTTGGTCTATTAGTTTCCAAAGGCTGCAGACACTACCACAAACTTGGTGGCTTAAAACAACAGAAATATATTGTCTCCTAGTTCTGGACACTCAAGTCTGAAATCAAGGTGTCGGCAGGGCCATGCTCTCTCTGCAGGCTCTAGAGGAAGATGCTTCTTTGCCTCTACCTGCTTCTGGTGGTAGCCAACAATCCGTGGTGCCCGTTGGCTATAGACACACCACTCCAATCTCTGCCGCTGTTGTCACATGGGATTCTCCCTGGGTGTGTCTGTATCCAAATTTCCCTTTTCTTATAAGAACACCAGTCATTGGATTAGTGTACATAATCCAGTGTGAACTCATTTTAACTTCATTACATCTACAAAGACCCTATTTCCAAAAAAGGTCCCTTTCACAAGTACCCATGGTTAGGACTTGAACATATATCTTTTTGGAAGACACAGAAACAGGTAAGCGTTATTTTTTTTATAGTCATATATTTTAGAGTACAGCAATAAAATATAATTAGCCCATCAAACTATATTTTAATGATAAGGTATCACTACTTAAGATGACTAAAGGCTAAGACTAAACAAAATGAATCCATTTAAAGGAATTTCCTGAGGAAACACTTCTATAGGTTTTACTTAAATATAGCAAAAACTGTGACGGTGCCTTGAGCTGACCCCAACTCTTCTTTTCAGGCAGGGTGGTGTCTCAAGAGGAAAAGAAAGTAAATAACTGAGCCTCTCACTGTACACTGGAAATTGACACAACAATATAAAATGACTGTAATTCAATTTTTAAAAATGTTTAAAAAAATAACAGCCTCTTATTTTAAAGTTTCCCCAAAGAGATTTTACAGCTTCCTCACAGTTAGGTCATTGTGCCACAAATCTCACTGCCTGAAACTTCTTCCTTACATCTAACCCCAATTCCTCTTACTTCAGTTAAAAAGATGGCTGCTGGATACATACCCTTTATAATTAAAACTGTTAAGTCATCCAACATGCAGGTAAGATGAACTATAGGTATGCAGAACTTCTAGCAGCTTAAGAACTTTAATAAAATGTGTCTCGTGAATTGTTTGTTACCTAAAACCACTATTTAAAGTTGGTAAAAAAGAAGGATCAAATCTATCCTTGTAGAGAGGTAACTACACTTTTCAAGTGTTCTGTGGCTACTGGTGAGTGAACACCAGATGGGGCCAGCAGACCTGGGATCGTCCAGCGTGAGTGCCCTGCACGGATCTAAGCCCCGCACACAGACTCGTGGCAAACCACAGGGCTGACAGATTATGACGTTTCTGGGTCCTTTTCTCCTAGAGTTTTAGAAAATCCCTTCTCATTTGAAATGAGCTCTTTTGTCACCCTGGCACCTCTCCTTAAACAGGTGGCTCCAACCCAGATTCTATTTAAGGCCGTTTCACCACTGTGGACACCAGCTTGGCAAAGCAGGGTAAACAAGAGGCACTTCATGTGCTTCTCTTCTGTGACCCCCCCGCCTCTGTCAAAGACACTGAGGATGCCACTCATAAATCATTAAGTCGTTCCTCCAGAAAAAGGAATAAACTGCTCTCGTCCAATCACAAGAGCATGCTTAAATAAAAAGGCACATTCTAAGAAGCCTGCCACAATTTTCAGGGTTTAATGTCTCAGGAACTTTCAGGAGAGGCTGATGTGCCTTCTTCACCATGGCTGATCTGTTTGTGGACTACAGTTTCCTCCAGCTGCTATGTATAAAGCCTGCCTGTGAGGCCAAAGAACACTCTAGAACAGTTCAAACCCACTCAAGCCTCAAAGGATACTTCTTTGCTTCTGAATCTGAACCATGTCTCAGCCTCCCTGTCTGGGGAACAGAGCTCCAGGGTGTGAGTCAGGAGTGTGGACTCCTCCTGCACCCTCAGAGGCCTGGGGGATGCCCCTGCGTCCTCAGCTCCCAGGATGCCCAGGACGGCCCAACCTGCTGCAGTTCTGGAGGGTCAGCTGAGCACCTGGAATGCGGAGAACCTCCAAAGAGAAGCAGGAAGAGGCAGAGGGACAGGAAGGAGAAAGCCAAGAACCAGAGAGAGAAAGAGAAAGTCCCAAAGCAGTGACAGTGGCCTGGGGAAGAAAGAGGGGCCACATGGATGAGACTCCAGATACTGCTGAGTGAGGGTGAGTTCAGGGGCTGCTGGTCCCTTATTATGTGTAGGACCCAAGACCCAAATGCCCACAGTTAAGTGAATTTGGAGTATTTAATCTATTTAAATAATTTTAATGGCACTTTACTTGGATTCTCTAACCAAATGAAACCCCGAGAAGCAGTAACAACACCATCTGCAAGCTTATTCTCAAATAATATCTATGCATGCAATAACAACCCTACATCCCAGAGTCTCAGACACTATTCTTCCCAGCACTAAACAGTTCTCTCTCTCTCTCTATTCCCTTCCTCCTCTCTCTCTCTTCCTCTCTCTCCCTCCCTCTCTCTCCCTCTCACACACGCAAACACACACACACACACACACTCACCCTCCACTCCCCACCTTATTTCTCCACATCAGTCATAACTTTGCAAATGATGGAGCCACTGCTCAGAGTGAATCCTTTCTACAATCATCTCTGCTACCTTGCCCCAGGCTGGGAGCCATTGCCTCTCTTGGAACTGACTACCAGCAGGCCTGCCCAGCCCAGCAGGCCACGCAACTCTGCCCAGGCCCTCAAGAAGGTCAGACCACTGGACCAGTGTCCAGAGGGCTCCATGTGGGAGCACTTTGGCTCTGCTGCTTAAAGAGACGGTAGCACCACAGATTCTTGGCCTTGAAACCCAGATTAGGAAAGAAAGTAATACTGTGGGTCCGATAATACCACCACTTAAATAACCGTGGAATAACTATCCCCCTATGCTTAACCAGGTGCCACCACCTAAGGATCACAGCCAGGAAACTCCAGGTTGCAGAGAAAGAAACCTGCAAGGAAAGAAGCAGAAAGAGAAAGAGGGCCAGGAGGGAGAAGGGCCAGGAAACAACAGCGGGTCCTGGTAGAGCTGCCTCTCCCCTGCTCAGAGCCCAGGACGGTGGGGCTCAGCTTCCTACCTTGGGTGGCCGTGTCTCTGCCACCAGGCAGCGTCCCGCACACCCCTCTCCAGCGCCGCTGGTGCTCAGTGCTGTGGGAGGTAGGGAGGACCTCTGAGGGACTTCTTGGTGGCAGAAACCAGCCGATTTCCTCTCTGCCCTCCTGCTGCCTTTCACTGAGGCTCTTGTGGAGGTTTGCAGATTTCCTTTACTCCGGGGCTTGGTCCCGCCCCTTGTTCTCGCTCAGATAAGCTCACCACGTTTTCCCTTACGGCCCTCTGTGGCCTCTTGTCCCAGCCTTCCTGGTTCAAAGGGCACCGGGCCACACCACCTATGAGGCTTAGCCTTTCATTCGCTTCAATTAAATTTTCCATTAACTTGGTCTCTGGCCAGTATAGATTTTTTCTTCAAGCTTGTCTGTAAGTTCAGATCACTCAGCCCTCAGAATCAACCTTATGACTTCCCTCAGGTCCATTTAAGTACATTTATATTTTTTCTCCCCTAATGAGATGGACAGAAACCAACCATAATTTTAATGCCTGACACCTGAAACTTCTTTAGCCCTTTCCAGTGTTTCTCGTTTGCCTGAGACTTTGTTCTTTAAGATTTAAGATTTCCTCTTGTAGAAATTTGCCCAAAGGCAATTTTGCCCAACGTCAGCCGTTTGAAATAATGAATGCCCTTTCAGTCTCCAGAGGAGAGGAGTTTCCATAACCAGCCTCTCTATGGTCTTGCAGCTTTGCCAAGTCTCTACCCCAAGGCTTATGGGAATTCCCAAGAGGTGGAGGAGGGCGAGAGTGGGGGACCTGCTGCAGTCAAGCTCTGTTTCCTCAACAGCCCCCGCACTTTTTGTCTTTCATAGAACTCTGGGCAAAGTAAAAGTGATGCTTAATCAGGAAAATGTTGAGTCCCTGGAATAGAGAACACCATACAGGTTTTGGTTCTAAATGGACATCCTGACTCTGAGGAAGGTTCACAGTACTTTCCAGTATCCCTCACACGGGTGAAGCAGGCTGCCATGTTGTGAGATGCTCCGTGGAGAGGCCTATGTGGCTCGCGGAAACGGAATCCTGCCAACATCCACATGAATGAGCTAGGAAGTGGATCCTACCCTAATTGACCTCTGAGACGCTGTGGGCTTGTGAGTGACCCAGAACCAGGGGACCCAGTTAAGCTGCACCTGAGCTCCTGACTCCCAGAAACTGTGAGAAATAAATGTTAGTTTAAACCACTAAGTTTTGGGGTAATTTGTCACACAGCAATAGATAGCTAATACAGGTAGGAAAAGAGGTTTGTTTCATTCCTCTTGACTGCATATTCCAGGTTGGAAGTTGTAATTATTAATTCAGTAGCAGCTAGGATGTATCTGCTATAGAATATCTAATTCTCTCTCAGGAAGTTTATGGGATTTTTTTTTCAAAATCAAGGAATTTACTACTTATGTCTGAGACCCATAAACTACCCATTAATAAGAGAGAGTTCGTGGAGTTTATCTTAGAAGCCTACTGGTTTCCAAAGTTGCTTCAATTCCTCTTGGCATGATTTGCCATTTTAACCCTAATTCTGATGCATGGTCAGTAGATACTGGTGTGGATAACCTGCAGATATTACCTTAGGACCCACCACAGAGGCTCAGGGTATCAGTTCAAGGGGAACAGCCCGAAGGAGAGAGTCTCCAGTTACAGCTACTGTGTGCACCCTGGAGGTTTGGGAATGGCCACATCTCATATCCTCGGTCCTTTGTCTCCATCAATCCTTATGCTTTCTGTGTTTGGATGGTCACCATCTCTTTAGATCCCTTAGAGACCGTGCCCATTCCCTGTATCTCCTCTTCCCCCATGGGCAGGAGCCTCTTTGGAAAGGCCTGCCAGAGATACAAAAGGCCTTCTGCAGCTGAGCCCAGTGCCTGCAGCATCGTCGGATCAGTTGGAGAGTGGCTCATGGGGGACTGATGGGTGGGGGGGTCACATAAAGGACAGTTAACCTCATGGAACAGAGGGGAGGGTTTCCAGTAGGTTTCTTTATTTGAAGAGAGGCATGGGGCAGGGGTGGAGGTGTCTTTTAGAGAATCCCTGAGACCAGCCTTATAGGAAGAAGGAGTCCATATGGCCTCTTTTTTGACAGGGTCTTTTTCTTCTCCACACTCCCTCCTAGAAGGAGCTCTCCCAAACAGTAGAAAGTCTACTAGGGATTTACCATCATCATCATTCTGCTCCTCAAGCCTTGAATGTTGGCATCTTTAATCCACAGAATGATTTTATTTGTGATCTTACACAAGAGGAGAATTACCTTAATTTCTTTTTGTTTCATTTTAATATGTATATACTTTCTATTAAAATATTGTCAAATTGGTCAACATGATTCAATATTATACTTTTGATCCCATATTTAAAGTTCCTTGGGAGGTTCCAACAACTTAATTGGAATATTATTCATTCATTCATTTAGTCAATAACTATTGAATACTTGTGCTTCCTCAGTGTCCACAGAACTCAAGGGGGAGGGTATATAGCTCAGTGGTAGAGTGTGTGCTTAGCATGCACAAGGTCCTGGGTTCAATTCCCAGTACCTCCATTAAAAAAAGAAAGAAAGAAAAAAGAAAAAAAGGGCAAAAAGAAAAAAGAGTATGCTTCTAAAAAAATAAAGCTAAAAATAAATTTTCAAAAAATATCCACAGGATTCAAAAAAGAACCTAAACCATACAGTGCAAAGGAGGAATAAATTACTGAAAATTGTAAAAATCTATTTCAAATTCTACAAAACCTAGTCTTTCCCTTAGAGGTTACATTTTTCCCTTTTAGCTCAATGTTTTAAAATATGTATAGATATTACACTTTAATGAATGATATCATTGAAAATATAATAAATGGCTTTTCCTAAATGAACTCATATTGGCACACAGGCAGAACTAAGATCAGGAATTCTACACTGGCAAACGCTCCCGATTCCATTTGGTAAGAACTCCGGCTGGGCTTCTCCTGGACCTATCTGTCTGGAAATATATGAAGGTCTTTGTATTTGCTGTGGAACTTGTGGCCATTTTTCTTTTCACCTTTCTATCAAAACTTTCTGCAAAGATTGTTAAGAACTGAGCTTGACACTTATGCTTTGTTCTCTTTCCAAATGGCCCCCTTTCCAATGCACGGCTTGAGAAGCAGACAGCTCATTTTGTTCACATGGCCCGTGGCTATGACAGAATGAGCACAGCTCTACAATATTCCAACCACTGGCCTGCACATGCCTTCCTTCATTTCTTTTTTTTTCCTGCATCATTTCATATAACATTTAAAAATACCAGGTCAAACTATGCCTAATGTCGGTGGGATGGGCCAATTTTGTAGGGATGAGAAAGTTCTCCTGGTGTCTAGAATGATAGGGTCTGCTGGAAGTCATCCAGCAATGGTGTAGCAAGGACCAAGGATAAGGACGAAACACTCCTTGGGGCCAAGATAGGAAACCCAGTGGAGAAAAGATAATTGATCTGTTTGGAGCGCAGTTTCTACCTAGATTTTGCTAAGTGGCATTGATGTTTGTTGTGTTCTTTTACATCTTTGCTGCAAGAAGTGACACAGGGGTACCACAAGTCACTTGTGAACATCTATTTTGTGCAGTCAGCCTTCGAGCTGAGAAACAGGACACACCCCACCCAGCAAGTGTGGATAATGGGGTCCTACTGACAGACAGGCTTGGGACGAAAAGCAAAGAGCCAGAGAGAAGAAGATCTGGGCTCAGTTTCCCTACCCACTCCACATGACCCCTTTGCCGCCTTTCTGTGCCGTCTTCTCTGAATGAGTGGCCTCAGCTCTGAAGGCATCACAAGTAGAGGGAGCTAAGAAAATGTTTGCCGACTGACCATGGGAGCATTTCTATATAATGGAACTTATGCCATTAAAAGCTCTATTTCCTTTTTGAAATTAACAATCTTTTGGAAAAAGAGATATTCTCTGGATAGTCATTCTCTGTAGAACTATTACATTAGACAAATTTGTAGATCAACAGGGAAGCAGATTTAATTTCTAGATGAATGGATATGAAGGTTCAACCATAACAGAACACACTGTGTCTATTACTCCAATAGTTTCCTGGTGCTTGGCTCCAAGACCAGCAGCCAAGGAAGAAAACATCAAGTCTCAAGAATAAATGTCTTTTCTCATCTCCCACCCCCACAATCTGTGTATCAAAAAAGCTACTCAACAAAAAGTAAACAATTTGTTCTCATCAGGTCAAACCTTCAAAAGGCAGGAAACCAATTGCTAAATTAGATCTTGCAGAAGAGTTCAGCTACCACATTTGTGGTTTCCAAAGAAATCTCCCCTACGCTTGGTGAGCAGACAGTTTGTTCTGTTGTATTGCACAGAGTTCGAGTCAACAAATATTTATGTGGACTTGTTACATCTCAGGCTCTGCTGAGGACCGCATGGCCCTGCCTTCAAGGCTGTCTAGCTGGGAGATGAGAGCTGGACCAGATTCTAGCAGTATAAGGCGGAATTAAATCCACTGAGCGAGGTAAACAAGGGTGTGGGAGAACAGGTGGATGTCTTCTAGGGATTTGGGGATGCTTAAAGGACAACAGAGACCCTCCTGCCCGTGGTGGCCAGGCCACACTGGGACCTTTGCCCGTCATCATTCTTTCCTTTCTTTCACCCTCTTCCCAGGGCTGCAGACCTCTTTCTGACCTGGATCTGCACATCCCCTGTGCCCTCTCAAGCCCCTCTCTTCTTTTCCAACCCACGGGGCACTTGGTCATCTTCAGTGGCAGCACTAGTACAGGGGCAGCATTGTCCCAGCCCAGATAGAATTATTTTATTGAAAACCTGAAATAAAATTCCCTGTGTGAGCAGGACTCCATCAGCACATCCTTTGTCATTCAAAATGTGGTCCTCAACCAGCAGCAGCATGGACATCGCCTGGGATCCTTTCAGAAATGCAGATTCCCAGGCCCCTTCCTAGCCCTACTGAGTCAGAATCTGCATTTTATCAAGATGCCCAGGTCGTTCTTGGGCATATTAAAGTTGAGAAGCCCTGGTGAAAGCTTACTTACAATCGTGAACTTTTTTTTTCAACATTCAAAGGTAAGGTAAAATTTCCACTATAATGATCTCATGACTTCTGACAGAACCACAAATGTTATCAAATCCATGTTTCTGCTTCGATTCTCCTAAAGCACCCAGAGAACTGTTTTTCCTAAAAGATGAATGTTTGGCTGCTGGTTAATAGATTTGGAGGAAAATGACTGACGTTCCAAGCCAAGGTCCCTACCTTTCAGACTGAATTCAGGCAGCTGAGTAGGTTTTCCCTGGACAAAGAAGAAAGATCATTTGGCAAGAGAGTTTATATTTCAAAGGTCTGAGGAAGAGATTTGGAAGAAGCTCTCCCTGCTCTTATATGAGCCCTTCTGTCTTGGTATCCTCATCTTCACCTCTGGGGGGCCCCTCCCAAGGGTTCCTGGGGCCCCTGACCTCTGGCTGTCCAGGGCTGACCTCCGGCTGTCCAGGGCTGACCTCTGCCACCTCCAGCCGTGACTCAGCTTGGAAGGGACCAGAGAGGACATCCTGCTCTTACTCCTCTGGGTTGCCAGAGTTCACCCCAATGGCCCTGATAAGTGGACACCTGTACTTGTCACCAATAATGCGGAGATCATTCCATCCAAGCAACCCCTTCTACTCTGAACAGCTTTGACTTTTCAAAGTTCTTTACAGTGTCAACCCCACCTGACTCCCGTGGGAGTGGTCTTCTGGTTGTTCAGAGGCCGAGTCCTCTACCTGGAAGAGTATTCCTTAAACCTATGCTTCTCAAACTTTAATGTGTCTTCAGAACACCTGAGATCTGTTGTGAAGGAGTGGATAAAGGCCACTGAGCATTTCCTTTCTCAGGTGAGGACAATATTCCTGACCAGAGTTTTAGTGGCAAGACCTCAGGTTTAATTAAATCCATCTTCAGGACCACAGAGAACAAATCCACATGACCAGCTGTCATATTTTTGGAACAGAAAATCATGTCTTCCCCAAATTATCCATTTTTTTCTTGCCACAAACATCATGGTTTCTTTGATAGTTCCTTATGTGTCATGGCTTTGCATTTTCTTACCATCTGATTAACTTCTGGAAATGCCCTAATGAATGCTGACAAACTCTCTGTGTGCCACTCAGCATGGGACACTTCAGCTTTGACTGAACAACCATGGGACAGAGCAGGACCTGGTTCAAATAAACTCAAGACCATATGATCTTGTTTAGGAACCACATGGTCCTATGGATGGATACAAAGCCTAAAGCCAACAAAGCCCTCCAACTCTTCCCTCATAAATACACCTGCCTTTCTTGCCA